AAGGATATTTACAGAGAAGGATTTGTACAGAAGGTAACCTGTTGTGCTGTGCTTGTTATTGTCAAGCCCTCAATAAAGAAATTCTCCATGATGGTAGCTACATGTTCAGACGTTATTTCTTCATTTTAATTTTGGTAGAGAAATATAGTTGTTTAAAAGTATTATAAATTTGGTATTTTACCTGGCAACATGGTATAATAGTTCCATTGCTGTTACTTACCATATTCTAATACCTCATCTTAGCATTTTGATTGAAGTCAAATACATACATACATATATATATATGTATATAAAAAATACAGAGAAATACGTGTCAGTGGACACTTGCAATGTGGTATATGTACTGACACACTCATAGTTATTACACGCATTAACGAAACCCAACACTGAATCTTGTAAGTTTGCAACTTACCTGAATTACAAAGGGACCTGAGGGATCCTGATGCTGCAAGCTTTTAATTCCCACTGATAAAAGGAGTAAATAGGGAGTATGAGATCAGTTTTTGGTTATAGCATAGCACCAATGTATTGCTTGTAACGGAAATGTTCAGACTGTGTAGAATTGCAACCTGAATGAGGAGGAAGCTAGAAAATATATTCCTGGGGCAATGTTCTTTGACTTGCATAGTTCTTCCTCCCCAGTGTTGACCCTTTTTGCTCTGTGAAACCACATCTGGTTTCATCTGGTTGAGCTAAACAAGACACTTTCTGGCCTATACTGAAACTATTCCTATTTCTTTGGTCATTTTAAGGTTCTCTTTCCTGAACTTCTCTGAGTATGTGTTATCTTTCTTCGCTGTGACAGACTTATTCTGAGTACTCTCCATAAGGTCTCAGCTTAGACAGTTGTATAAATATCTCCAGGCAGGCTTTTCTCTTCATCTTTATTCAGCAGCTGATGAACCTGGAGTTACTGAAGAAATTCTTCCTAGTCTCTTAAGCCCCTTGTCTTTATTGCCTTAGACTTCTGCCAATTGAGACCTTTTTTTATGGCAGTTCAGTCCTACTGTGCATGTCAGATATCTTCTTTCTATCACCAGTGTATTTGATTAATTATTTTATTTGGACATAATAATTAACAGAAATGATAAATGGTGTCAGTCCCTAATCCACAGTTACACAAATCATCCCCTATTGCCTGAGCAGTCTCCTGTAAGTACAGCCATTGCTGTTGCTCTCCAGCTGTTTTTTTCCCTCTGATTTTCCTGCATCATCACACTGATTTCCATATAATACCATGTCAGTCACTTTACTGAAATCTACATGGATTTCCTTTATTGCAATTCCATTCTCTAAAAACATGGTGTATTTTAGCAAAGGAAAATACCAAGTTAATTTGGCACAATCCAACTTTGGTAAGTATGTCTCCAGTTTTTATCTACTTTCATATCTCTATTTCTTTCACAAAATGTTGAGTTCTTGTAGACAGTTGAAGTCATCCAAATACATTTCTGTGCATCACTTTTTTTCTTAAATACTGCTACTTAATTTTTTATTCTTTTAATCATATGGTATTGCTGTCTGGTTTAGTAAATGCATTAAAACTCTTACCACTGGATTTATTATTTCTTTTACTGGGCCTCCTTGAGAGCTGAGCTCTTTGCCCTTTAGTTTCATCTTGCACACAACAATTTTTCTTTCCACGCTCATTCTCATGAACATCTGTGGTTTTACCTGTGTGTGCTGCAATATGATCATTACTCATGCTGAGCCAAATAATTAGCCAAATAGTTTGGGGTGAGACCAAGATTACCTTTAATTGCAACCATATCTGTGATTTATAAGGCACCCACTCCTTTTTTGTTGTTTATATGGCCAAGGTACCTCTTACTATTTGCTTGAATTTCTTTGCTGTTTTAGTCATTATTGAAAAGCAAAGATCCCAGTCAGCTTGGTGAATGTTGTGATAATATTAGGAGGTAAGCAAATAATTTGATAGGGAAATAATGGAATAAATTTGTACTGAATTTTTTTTACACCAAATAGTTCATCAAGATCCACCTACAATTAGAGGGGTGAATCTCGGTATCAAGCCTACTCACTTGTGGTTAGTGACCTGTCATTTCAAGATCAGAGTATTTTCCTTTGACTTTGCTGACAGCCAGCATGAGAGGGCTATTTGTCTGCAACCCCTTCCAGTCTCCTGCCCACTCTTCCTGCATAGCTTGCTCTTATAATCCATTGAGGTTTCTAAACAATATTTTCCCAATTTGCCTCTGATTGACAAACCCTATAATAATCTTGCAGTGGGAAATCTAATGATGGTTCTTCTTGTGGACTTCAGCAAAAAGGTATGCAACTTAATTAGGCACTGAGAAACATGCTTCAGAAAAAAAATTAATTTTAATTTTCTTTTGGCTTCCCTGCAGGGCCTTTCCTTTTGCTCATCCTTGCTGACAGAGGCCACAGTGGCTAACTCAGCTCCTCCCTGGGGTTCGTTGGTTTCTTTGAGCAGGAGACCACAGAGAATATTTTACTCAGTCCTATGCCTTATTTATTATTTTACCACTGTTGGGTAAAATCAGCCCTCATTTGATACAAAAAAAATTTACCATACAAGAATCCAGAAGAAAAAAAATCATGACACTGAGACAAAAAATAATACTGGTCTTGAAGAAAGCAGATCAATAAGTGTTGGGATTGGTTACGCCCTAAGATTTACTTTATGGCATTCTCCAAATAAAAGAAACTTCTTCCACCATGGAATGAGCAGGGGTTCCTCTTCAAGTGCTCCCAAAATCTCATCAGGAAAATGTCAGTGCAGAGGTCAGAGCACAAACATACCTATGCTACCTCCCCACTCACAGGTACAGCAAAAGCTGTCCCACTAGAAACTCTCTGCACACATTTGTACCCTCTCTGAGGCACCTCCTCAGGGATGAGCCCTGAGCCACCAAAGCGGTGACAGAGGTCTATCGACCTCAAGTCCTTTGGAAGGACTCAAGTGCTGGTACAGCACCTTGGGAAGGCTCTTCCGTGCTCGATTCCGACTCAGGCACAACGTGATGCCACTAGATGGCGATGGATACCTTCAGTACTGTCCAAAACAGCCAAATGCTTTCTCCAAACAGAGAAAAGGGAAGGGGAAAAAAAACCCCTACGATGTAGTTTTTTAATAATACAGTGATACGCCACTTTGCAAATGATATATTCTCGTTTTCTCTCCAGACTCAAGTACCAAGGTAATGTCACAGGTTTCTTTGGTAATTCTTTTGTTTGCATACAGTATTTCTATTACTCCAACCACCTTTAAAACTGGTCACACATCTTCCTTTCTTGACTGCAAATCTTAATTACTTTTGTTAGTATTAGCATATTATCTTCAGACAGAAGCAGAGCCTTGTTAAATACAATCCATTAATAATTCAGCATAAACCTAATTTAACTGCAAAATTTGGTCTATGCTATGTGTATACCCTCTCTCCTCTTCAGTAACAAATTTTCATAAAAATCTAAGCAAAAAAGACAGTTAAAACATACTAGCTTTTCCAGTATGCATGTAAATACAGCATTTCAAACTTCCAACACATTTGAAAGTTGCTGACTTTTCATTTACTTTGCATTCTGAAGAAGATTTGGTGCTTTTTCCTGCTAAAAAAGGTGCAGAGAGAAAACTGTCTTAAGAACTTCTTGAGTGCAATGAAGTCTTTTTCCTTCCAGCATTGGCTTGTTAATAAAGGCATGTTGAGAGAGCTCTCAGCAAATTTAGAAACTTTTTTTTGAATGATAGAAGAGAAGATTGCTTCATACGGGTGGAGACATATAAGGTTTCACTCAATGTTACCTAAGTGAATGAAATCACTGCACTCTGCAAATGAGCATTAATCATGTATCTTCTTGACAACAGAAAATCCTTTCCCAATGTTCTGAGACACTTCAGTTTCACCACAGCATTTTAAGTATGTTGAGCTCAGCAGTTTTTTCTAAAGAGCAACAAAACTATTTCCAAGTGATGGATAAACGTGAAATACTGGTAGCTAACTCCATGACAAAACTGACCTTGCATTTTTTAATGAACTATACATGCACATATGCAAAAAATGGAAGAAGCAAAGGATACTAGGCTTGTGGAAAGTACTCAGATACCATGACGATGAGCTTAGTGTGAATATTCAAACATTATATGGGTTGTCCAGGCCCAGAAGGTGGTGGTCAGTAGCATGAAGTCTAGCTGGAGGTCAGTGACTAGTGCTGTGCCCCACAGGTCAATACTGGTCTACTCCTGTTCAATGTCTTCATTAATGACCTGGATCATGGGGCAGAGTGTACCCTCAGCAAGTCTGCCGATGACACCAAACTGGGAGGAGTGGCTGATAGACCAGAGGGTCATCCAGAGGGACCTTGACTGGCTGGAGAACCTCAAGAACTTCAACTAGGAGAAATGCAAAGTCCTGCAGCTGGGAAGGAACAACCCCCTGCACCAGTCTATCCTGGGGGCCACCCAGCTGGAAAGCAGCTTGGCAGAAAAGGGACTGAGGGTCCTGGGGTGGACACCATGTTGAAGCTGAGCCAGCAACAAGTCCTTGCTGTGAAGAAGATAAGTGGTATCCTGGTCTGTGTTGGATAAAGTATTGCCAGCAGGCTAAGAGTGTTGATTCCCTCCTACTCAGAAGGCCAGGTGCGAGGCCACATCTGGAGTCCTGGGTGCAGTTCTGGGCTCCCTTCAAGGGACATCTGGACATACCAGAGAGAGTCCAACAAAGAGCCACAGAGATCAAGGAACTGGAGCCTTTCTCCTGTGAGGAAAGGCTAAGAGTTGGGACTATTTAGCCTGGAGAAGGGAAGGTATGGAGGGTGGATCTTACTAGTTCATGTAAATACCTGAAGGGAGGGTGCAAAGAAGATGGAGACAGGTTATTTCCAGCAGAGCCCAGTGACAGGACCAGAGGCAGTGGGCACAAAATGAAATGCAGGAGGCTCCATCTGAACATCAGGAAACAATCTTGGTTTTACTGTGTGGGTGACTGAGCACTGGCACAGGATGTCCAGCAAGGTTGTGGAGTCTCCGTCTTTGGAGATACTCAAAAGGTGCCTAGACACAGTCAACTAGGTAGCTTTGCTTGAGCAGGGGGCTTGAACCAGATGACCTCCAGAGGTCCCTTCCAACCTCAGCTAGTCTGTTATTCTGTGATACAAAAGATTTATTACAACGATAACATTTGAAAAGAGTAATCAGTAAATTAATTATTAAAATTATAAAGGTTGAAGTACATACTTGTTCATACATTTTCTAGCCACATGATATGGCATGAATACCAGCCTCATTAGGAATCTGTGCAGTATCCTAGAATTGCTCTGGCTCCAGAGCATAGAACACATGTTTTAAGAAGGTTGTGGTCAAGATGTTAACATCTTTTTTTTTCCTGTGCAGAAAAAGAACAGGCATATAATTTCATGCCAAAGAGCTACATTTTATACTTGATGGTTCCAAAGATAGATGTGCTTTCAATGGCAGAACTTACTTGGAATTTTGCCTGCCTTTCAGGCAGGCTTGTAATTTGGTAAGAAGACTGATCTAATGATTGTGGGTCTCTCACTGATGATATTTTCAGCAGTAAATAGCTTTAAAAATTGTTTATAAATACTATTAAGCGTATTTACACACAGATGCCTTTATAAAGCTCACTGCTGTTTAGTTTCTAGAGGAAGGGTACTGACGATGTGTGCAGAGCCCCTGACTGTATTTTTGAGTTTCCAAATAACCTAAGTCAATTCTAAAGGCCTAAATGTGTTGTCTCATGACTGCTGAGGCCAGATATACTCAGAGATATCTTTTAAAAATAACTGAAGTTACAATGTTGATTCTTTTAGTAGAACCAGACAAACAGTTTTGACACTAATTCTGACAGGGACATATTACGACAGGGGAATATTTCTTCCACTCTGTGTTCAATGTCTGCACATACTATACAGTAAAATGACAAATGATATTTTCTATTCTGTCAAAGGTTTAGATAAACACTGCCTAACACAAACATGTGTGGGCCTGCTGAACACCTCCTTTGAGAAGTCTGGCAGGCAACAACCCTTCTGCAGGAGAATAAACAAAGCTGCCTAAAAACCAGTCTAGTTTTCCAGGCGTGAAGTTAAATATTTGCTACAAATGTTAACTTCCCACCATGCATCTGCCCATCTTCATGTACTATTCCCCCTAAGGGATTGTTCTCTCAGGTGAAAAGTGAAATAAAAGTTTCAAAATCGGACAGTGTTACCAGATGTAAAGACAACAATTCAGCAAATTACAGCTGTGAGAAACTAACCACAGGGATGTCCATGCTAGGGAGCTCAAAGGCCATCAAAACAAGGCTCCTGGTGGCCTTTTTCTAGGAACCACTTGTCAGAGGGATGTGTGCTGAGTTACTTGAGTGATATGGGAGCCTTGCTTAGGCTTCTTTTCCCTTGGAGAGAGTGCTCCTCATTTCCTCTCATCACATGCGTTAAGAGGCTGCCTCAAGTCAGAGAAGAGAAGCACCCATGCAGGTCCTGAGATGTGGAAAATACTGCTGCAAAAAGGCTGCTTTTCCCTTCCCTGTGTGTGTGTGTGTAAAAGACAGCATGGGTGCACATTGCAGCTGTTCAGAAAAAAAATCTGCCAAAGATCTAATTTCACATGCAGAGGAACTTCTCTTGCTCTTGTGACACAACAGAAAGGTTTCATTTTTGTGGCATTACAATCAATCAATGTTATTCGTGTATAAGCACCATGGGGCCTCTGCTCGGGTGTGGTCTCTCACATCTGGCCAGTGCAGGCTTGGAATCTGATGACTGAGAAGCTCAGGGGAGCCTGTTATTGACTTGTTATTTAATAGGACGCTTCTGGTCCAAGACTTGCTGCTCCTCAGTTCCCAGAACATGAGGACACTCAATGAGAAAGCAGGATCATGGTCTTTGTTATTCAAGCATAGACTGTGGTGACTATTAAGCAGTTACTCTCTTTGTTCATCCCAACTGCCTTTTCTCTTTGTAAAAACAGTAGATGATTTGGCCATTCTGAAACCTTTTTCTCACATTTCCCCTTCCCCCCCTTGTCCACACACCTATGAGGAGTGTACTTGTAGGGAGAAAAAAGTGCTAGAGCTGCTGGGAGCAGAGTAATGGTGTCAGCAGGGGGCAGAAAGTTGGAGTAGGGAATCTGGGGGACAGACAGACCATAAAATGGGTGGGGAAAGAGGAAGGGAGAAGGAAGAAAAAGAGGAGGGAGGATGCAGGCAGCGCACTGACCACTGAAGAGCTCTCAGAGCTGCCCCATGACATCACAGAGGAGACCCTTAAACGTGACATGATCACCACAGCTGCAGTTCGGCAGCAGCTCCCAGAAGCCTGTGTCTGTTTCTGGTCCTGGTCCTTCTCCACACTGCCTATGTCTCCTGGCAGAGCCCTTTTTCACAGCCTCACTTCACACTCTGTCGCACTCCCAGCTCCAGCCACCAGTCCCATCGTGATCCCAGTAGCTGCAGGATAGAAAGGATTAAACTTGTATTGCTACAATAAAAGCAAGATTAATGCAAGTGACTGAAGGTTTATTGTGCCACTGACATTTGGTCTGAGGAAGAATATTCTTAAAGAAGAATAAGAATGCTATATTGCATGGTCCTGCTATAAATGTTCTAATTTAAAATAAACTTTCCTGCACAGGTTAAGACTCACCAACCACTGAATTGTCAGCAGTGTCACTGAAATGTCAGTGTCACAGAAGATCCTTACTGTCAAAAACCTTTATAATGTTTTGCTTGCCTTTCGAAGGACTGTAAGTTCTGTTAATAAAGTAACTGTGCTCAGAGAATATATCTGGATTTCTTTAAGACACTTGACTTTGTACCAAATTGTACAGACCTAAGAAAGAATGAGCTGAATTTACAAACTGGTTTACAGACCAGTCTCCGAGAGTTGCTATTGATGGTCATTAATGTGGTATCAGTGAGCAGACTACCAAAGGTCTCAGCTCATGGGCCAAACCTGTTTTTTAGTTTTATAGGTATGAGAATTATACAAAATCTGTGGCAAAGTCTGCTGCTGATAAAAAAAGTTTCTTTTTTGTTAGCAGATAATGAAGACAGATTACCATAAGAGTAATTAAAATTGCTTTATTAAAAGATACCAGCCTAGCAGTATTTTAATACTTAAATACTTAAAGTGATATTGGTTTGGGGGAAACAATGACAGAAATTGTATTTATGGATCAAAGGCTTGGATTCTGGTGAGGACCTAACAGTAACAGTGGATAACTACCCCAGCATAAACTCTTGAGTAATGTTGTACATACAAAGAATATAATCTTTGAATGTATAAGGGGAGAGTACTGCATAAGGCAAGGAATTGACCCCAGTCTTGTCCCCATCCATAAGGATGGTGTATGGCAGCAGCTTTAACACTCCAGCAGTCTGTGCACCATACCTAACACAACCCAAATCATGCGGCATTTACTGCCCCTAAGCTTTGCACCTTCTCAGCACACCTCACAGGTCTAAGCACCTCAGTCTTGTTTCCTTTCTTCCCTCCCTGAGCCTGGTAAATGCTACTCACTGCAGTGCCAGTCCTTGCAGAGCCCAGCCCTCCTCTGGCCCACGTGCTGGTTGCTTCCTCTTGCCAGCAAGTGCAGGCTCCAAAATGAAGCTGTTGAGTAGGCAGAGCTTAGGAAGAGGAAAAAACTTGTGAAAGGATGTCACAAAGGGCACTGTCTCTCAGTGGCATGGGGAAGTGGGATGCAGAGCATCCCCACAATGCCTGCAAATGAAGTTTGGAAACACAGTATGTCCGAAGACACAAAATGTCCCAGGCAATTAGACAAGAGGCGAAGGGCAGAAACTGATGCACGGGATGTTCCACCTGAATACAAGGAAGAATTCTTTACTCTGTGAGGGACTGTGCACTGGAACAGCTTGCCCAGAGAGGTTGTGGAGTCTCCTATTCAGGAACTGTCTGGACACAATCCTGTGCAATGTGCTCAGGATGACCCTGCTTCAGCAAGGAGATTGGACCTGATAACCCCGTGGTCACTTCCAACCCTACCCATTCTGTAATTCTGTGACAAACCCCCCAGCTCCACTAATTCCTTAAACCCAAAAGTGTAAGAGTCTTGCTATAGATGGCAAAGTCATGTCCATTTTTAAATGAATATGCATTTATTTATGCAACATGAAAGGCTCAAGCGATATTCAGTTCACATATCTGACACACAGGGCGGGCCCAACACCACCACCAGGGCCTTGGACAAGGGCACGCCTCGTACCACTCAGAGGTTTTGAACATTTTGGGAAGGTAACCCGGGGCTTCCCGTACAACTGTCTGGGATCTGCGGCCCCCACGACACGGACCGGAGGCCAGGCCAGGCCAGGCTGTTTCCTCAGCAGCGAGACTGCCGAAGGAGCCTCTGAGACAGCGCTAGGCGGGGGTGCGGCAGAACCTGCCCTGATGGGCCCCAAACCGCCACCACCAGATCTCGCCTCATCCCGTCTCGCCCCACGCAGGGGAGGGCGGCGCGGGGGGCGGTGCGAGCGGCGGCGGTTCCGGGGGCCGTGCGGGGCGGCGCCCATGGCGGCGGCGGCCGGATGTGCGTCCTGCTCCCCGCCCCGGCCCCGCCCCGGCCCGGCCCTGCCCCGCCGCGGCCGCCCGGCCGCGTAGACGGGGCGGCGCGGCCGCCTCTGCCCGCGCAGCCGCCGCTGTGCTGGCGGGCGCCATGGAGGACGTCGGCTCGGGCGTGAACGCGGACGCGGAGGTGCGGAAGCTGCAGGAGCTGGTGAAGAAGCTGGAGAAGCAGAACGAGCAGCTCCGCAGCCGCCACGGCGCCCTACCCGCCGCTCCCGCCAGCCCCAAGCGCCTGCCGAGCGCCGGGCCCTCCCCGCCGCCCCCCGGCGCCTCCCCGTCGCCCGACGGCCGCTGCCTCAGTCCCCGGGCCGCCGCCCGGCGCTCGCCCCCCGAGGAGCCCGGCGGCGGCGAGGGCGGCGGCGGCAATGGCCTCCTGGACGAGGCGGCGGTGCTCAGGCCAGAGGAGCTGGAGCGGCTGGCCGGCTGCGATGAGGACGAGACCGGCTGGTGAGGAGGGGGCCGGGTGGGGATGGGGCAGGGGCGGGCTGGTGAGAGGGCTGTCAGCGCTCCGCGTCCCTTTCCTCCGCCGCTTCTGGGAGGAAGGGGCCGTTTCCAGGCGCGTCCCTGGTGTCGGAGGGGGTCTCGGGGCTTTGTGTGCGGAGGCAGCCTCGCCTTTTGAGCTGGGTGAAGGGATTAATTAGCTCTCAGAGACGTACCGAAGCCTGCCGGGGAAGGGTGTCGTGCTCTGCACAGCGCATCGCATCTCCCCGCAGGCCCGCGGCTCCGCGCTGCTGTTCGGCCGCGGTGGCAGCGTTACAGCGAGTCCCTCGGAGACCAGAGCGGCTCCAGTGCTGCCGCAGGATCAGCCCTCAGTGTTTCCGCGAGTTCAGGAGGTGTGGAGGCGTTGGGAAACTTGTGGGGAATTTCTTGGGTAGTTCAGAATTTGCCACAGGTACTGTTACACTTCAGAGGTGTATCAGGCGTTTTATGTCTTCATTTCTTTCAGTTGTGAAGGCAGCAAACGTAATACACTTTTTCATCTCATAAACGTGTTGCCCTTAGGTGTCCTCGTTTGTTGCTAATGATGTAGGACCACGGCTTCCCTTAGATGATTCGTCTTTTTAAATGGACTGCTTACCCTGCTGCTCCAGCAGAAGCACCTGCAGGTGGCTGTTCGCCTTGTCATTATTACGCTTGGATGAGCTTCCACTGAGAATCAGGGTTTGCTCTCTCGAAACATCACGCTGTTGTCCAGCTGTCGTTTTGAAGTTTCCTATGACAGTTGTTGAGCAGCTTTAGAGCTGCAGGAGAAATAGTGGGGAGGAGCACAGTGTCAACAGATAAATGCAAGGGAAGCACGTACAGGGAGAAAAAGTGTAACACAAGCAATCTGACTTGGGGCAGAACTGGTTGTAGGTTGATCTAAAAGGTCTTTGGAAGCAAACGTGCAGACAAATTTAAAAAACAAACAAAGATGTCTTTCAGATTTAGAAACGCCTTTAAAAATGCTGGAATGATTCCATGCATGAGCAATGCTTTAGTTGCTTAGGGAGGAGACAGTGTGTGCACTTCCTTGGAGAAGTCATTTGCCTGACTTCCAGCCTGATCCACTGGAGAAGTATGAGAGCATAAGTTTATTCTCATCCAACGCTAAATTAACACAAGGCATCATCTCCGAAATGACAAGTCTGTGCAAGGCAGCTACTCTTATTTCTCAGTGTATGCCTTGTAATCTGCTGGCTTATAGCCCTTGATGGAAATAGAATATAGTAAATTTGCACAGTAAGTTTAGAATGGGATGGCTGAGTTTGTTAGTGTCATGAACTCTGGTGACAATAGATGTTATAGCTTTATATGTTAATCCTAAATCGTGGGCAGTATCTTGCATCTCTTCAGTGAGAGTTAATGTCCTGACAGAGTGTGTGGTGACAGTGGTGCCATAAGTGCTGTGGTTTTGTTGACACGGTTCTGGACACTGGTGGGGCAGCCGCAGTGCTGAGCACTGTTTTGCTGGGCACTGCTCTTGCTGGTGTCAGGTGTTTGGCATGTTACTCATGCTGCCAGTTCTTGTGGCACCATCATGTTTCTGTGCAGGTTCTAGTCCTCAAAAGATATTAAAACTTAAATGCAGTCTTTTGCATGTCTTCATTTCTTTACTAGTGTTTTGGCAAGTATAATGCTAAAATATGTTTTAGCAACTAATTCAGTCTCAGATGTGGGACATTGACTGAGACACAAACACACCTAGAAAAGAGCAGTTGTTAAAATTTACTTATTGTTGCACACATCACAAATATGAATGTGTAATTAAAAAAAAATTGTCTTTTCCTACTCTAGTTTAATATGGAGTTAATGATAAATGTGGTTTGGCTAGACTGACTGATGGTTTTTTTGTTCTAAACTGCTCAATAAAAATGGAAGTCAAGCTCCTGGAATTTCTGAACACCTTTTAATTCAACTATTGAGACACTAAGTACTTCAAAACCATTTTTGTTTCTTATGAAGGTAGGATGATTTTGTATTTGTGCATTTGATGAATGGAGGTAATTACTCTAAATGAAGTTTGAAATTTTCAGAGGGCTAGTGGAGCAATCAAAAAGAAACAAGCCTGTGAAGATAGGAGGGATGATGTGAGTAAGTGGATTTCACTTAAACTGTTTCATAAATATCCTGCTCTTAAGGTCTTGGTTATGCAAGTTCTCTCAAAAAGTAATTGAATCAACTGAAAGGGTGAATGTACTTGATGAAATTTAAACCTAGTATGAACTCCTTCAGGTTCAAATGGATTTGGGTCACTGCTGCTTAACTCAAAATCCTGTTTAAAATATGGGATTATACACTGTAAAAGTCAAAGATCACTTAGCAGCTGAGGAAATCTTTTGTGGAAACAAACTAAATTTAAATCATAGTTTGTGCGTAAAAAATTGATTAATCTCACCTATTTTGCATATCTGCATAGAGAAGCTTAGATTTGTCTTTACTTCTGATTTCAGAAGGACCTTGCTGTGGGTGATAATAGATGATAAAGGGTACTGGCTTTCTCCATTCTTTTCTCTGTTTTGTGTAATACAGACATTTTCATACTCCATTACAAAATGGTCTGCAGCCCTGTAATGGCAGAAGAAATAGTTTTCTTCACCGCAAAAATTACATTGCTTTACATTAATACTCACATGAGATTAGTGGCTGTGAATTTAAGATGGAACACTTGATACTGTGACTGAAATTGATACTGGAATGTGACATGGTTTTTTAAATCTACATTTTGGAGTTTTATCAGCTCGTTTTTAGCTTTTAGTTCTTTAAATGCGTTTAGATAAATCTACACAGGACAGAAACGTAAAGTGAAAAAGCAGAGGAAAAGATAGAACTAGCTAACAAGCAAAGGAACTTTGATACTGCTGCTTTAGTAGCAGCATTAGCTATTAAAACAGCATTGCAGTGTTGGTGAAATTTGGGACTGTTTATTTTTTTGCTCATTTGTTCTTCCTCACTGTGATTAGTTAAATCCAGATAGTTTTAAACATTTTAACACATGAGACAATCTTCAAATTATGTGGTAAATTATTAACAATATTTCAGTGAATTTAGGTTGAGTTTCTTGTCCATATGCTTCTGAATCCTGTTTGATGTGCTGAAACTTTCTTCTTGATGGGGTTCCAAAGGTTGCAAATGGGCACATCTACACCTGCATGCAGTACTGAGCTGTACCCAGTGCCATGGAGGCTTTGCTTTAGGCCTGCTAATTATTTCCTTAAGTTATCCGTGACTTTCATAATCTATTTTATGGGTGTTCCTGTTTAGCTGTTCTTGAACCAGGTTGGATCAAACTTAATTTTTTTCGAATTTTGATCTGAAGGGGTCTTTTCTTATTAATTAATTAAAAATAAAAAAGGCCAGGAGAGGGGACTTCAGATAAGTGGTATGTAGCTCCTTCCTTGCCTGACTTGCTGGGTAAGGTTGGGTGTGGATGTGTAGCATGTTTGAGACACCTGGGTAACAGCATGCAGGGTGGCTTCCTATGCTCCTTTTAAAAAGAGAACTGTCTCAAGTTTATTGCAGGATAAATGTGCTCGTGGGCAATTACAGTAGATTAGTTAATGAGCTGTGAATCCACTGTAGGTTGCTTTGTGGTCACCTAGACTTTCTGAGATGAGTTCTTTAAATGTGAGCAAAACATGCAGTGCTTTTC